TCGCGTATTGCTTCTCTCTCTCTCTCTCTCTCTCTCTCTCTTTTCTTCAAGTACTCATCAACTACTGTCTTCTTAAGAAAGGACATTTGTAAGATACTCTTGCATGGGATTCCTTTGGTGTCTTTGATGATGGATGTCTCCTGCAGGATGCAGACGGGAGAAATTATATAATGCGTATGAAACATTGTCAAAAATGGGCTAAAGAAGAGAAAGAACTTCTTTGTGCCTTGGTGAATGCAAAAAATCAGGTATTTAAAATGTTGTTTCTTCTTAAGAAGTTAGTTCGGTAATTGATGCTTGGAGAACTATTTTGACTGTCGTTTGTAGTAACCATGAGATAATCCTACAGGTTGGAAAATGCCTCAGGGATAATTTTGATACTCCAGGTGCGCTGCAGGCTCTACTGAGTCTAACTGGAGCTGTGAAATCACATATAGACAAAGTGGTATGATGGTATAATCCTTGTTATTAAATGTGAATCACTTATATGCTAATATAAATGCAACTTATGGATAGTTCTTAATGAAAGTGGTGGTCATAAGAAATGATATCAAGCGATTTTTACTGTGACCTCGACCAACCAATTGATTGCCTTTTATGATGAAGTCCTCTTTTTGCCTATATAATGTGGTATAAAAATTCCACTGTATTGATGAATTTGTTGTGAAAACTGTTCATCTTTAGCCTTGTAGGCTTTTGCAAATGGCATGTCTCGGAATCTTGATCCACTGTAAGCATCTTGTTGGCATCCAATTTATTGTGAATTTCATTTCAATTTGAAGCAAGCATTATGGCCCAACCGTTCTTGATCTCTATGATAAGAGTTTATGCGTTTTAGGTTAAATATTCAAAACTTTCGTGTCCTTTCCCAGGCTGGCTGAGTCACTTTGATCAAAGTAACTCTGGCCAATGCCCTGGTCTACCTCATGTCTTTGTTCCAAATGCCAAGCTCAGTGGCAAATCGGCTTGATCAACTTATGAGAAATTTTTTCTAGTCGAGCCCGGCAGAGAGAACTATCACTTAATCTCATGGGAAAAAGTATGTTTTCCCAAACAGCAAGGGGGTTTAGGGATCAGGATCCCAAGCATAACCTTGCCCTTTTAGGCAAATGGTTGTGGCATTTAGCAACTCAGACTGATTCCCTTTGGGCCCAGGTCCTACACCGTAAATATAAGATCTCCGAAGGTACTTGGGTGCCAGAGAAGAGACCTTTCAGCAAGGCCTCAGGAGCGTGGAGGTCCTTCACCTCATCCCTCTCACTGTTCAGATATTTTATCAAATTTCATCCAAGAGAGGGAACAAGAGTGCTCTTTTGGTCAGATCTCTGGCTCGGACACACTCCCTTAAGGGATCTCTACCCCTCCCTTTACTCTATTGTCTCTAACAAAGATTCCACTATCGTGGAGGAAATGGCAGTAGTGGGAGGTAGTCAGGTAGAAGAGTGTGGAACCCCTCCTTCAGAAGAAACCTCTTTGATGAGGAAACAATCACTCTCTCTCTTTCGGCTGCAATACATAATTCGTTCATTTCAACACAAGGGAGGGATTTGTTGGTATGGTCTCTTGCATCCTCTGGTATTTTCTCGATGGCTTCATTCTACAAAAGACTTATCCAACCTCCCACTTTCCCTCTTAACCCCCCTTCTGTACTATCCAAGGTTTGGTCCACATTAGCAGCTTACAGTGGATCAGCTTCAAAAGAAAGGGATCCCTATTCCCAACAAATGTGTTATGTGCACGTGCGAGGAAGAATCAAACCCTCTTCTCTTCATCCATTGTAACATGGCTCATGATCTCTAGGGTCAAATGTTGCAGTTGTTCGGGGTCCAATGGGTAACGCCTTTGACAGTCAAGGATATCTTATCTTTGGACCCTGCGTCACACTGGCCGAAGATTGGACGAATCCTTTGGAAGGCTGCTGTGGCGGCCATTGTTTGGGTTATCTGGAAAGAGAGAAACTCTAGGATATTCAATGGCACTACTGTCCAAGGTCCAACTCTTTTCCACAGGGTTACATCCCTAGTAATATTTTGGGCATCCAACCAGCGAATCTTTTCAGGGTTCTCAGCAAATACTTTCCTAAGCCAGTGGGACAACATCCTGAATCACCGTCCATGGAAGGTGCAAAAATCTCACAACTGGCAACCACCCCTAGAAGGAGTTATAAAGCGTAACTTTGATGGTTGCTCTGTGGGGAACCTAGGTCATGCAGGAGCGGGAGGGTCTTTAGAGACCACCATCACACAAATTTACTTACCTTTTTCGAGTATCTTGGCTTTTAAGATTCTCAGTATGTTGAAGCAATGGCCCTCCTCGTGGGCATTAAAAGCTTCAATCACTCTTGGGAGCAATACCTTATAGTGGAGGGAGACACGAGTAATATTATATCATGGGCAATCGGAGAAATGTGGCGGCCAAAATCATATCAGCTCCATAAATGGACTGAAAATCTACTAGCTGATGTTTTTACCAAGTCAGTTGGTCAAGGCCGCCTTTGAACCATCATACGCAAGTTGGACATCCATGACATACATGAACCAACTTGCGGGGGACTATAGAGGGATTGTGTATTTTTTATATATGCACTAAGTAGTTCCAAGGATGCATGTGAGATTTTCACTTTCTATAGTCTGTTTTTGTCATTATGGGACTGATCTGTCCTTTGTAATTTCTGTAGGACAAAGTTGTAGTTTGTAACTTATTATGCCATAAAACACAACACCTAGGCCAAGCTTTTGTCCTCTAATTCGGTTTCCTTTCCCGCACACACTGTGTGATCCTCTTTCTCTCATTCTCAACTTGCCTTCTCTTCCTTTCTCTCTTATATTTGTCTCTTTGGATATAAAATTGGAATGATATAGAGAAGTAATGCATGGCTCTTGCACAAGGATGACATGCTTTTCCTCCTCTCACTAGCAATCATTGTTTCCTTTCTCTTGTAGAGATCTAAACCCACAAACTTTGCACTTATTATGTGTTTCTTCCCTCTTTCTCTCTCTTTCTTAACTCTCTCTTTTTTGGTTTCTTTTTGTGTCTCACTTCACCTCTTTTGCAGCGCTTTGTATCTTCTTATGCATTCATTTTTTTGTCTTCATGTGAAAGAAAACCTTGTTTGTGACCTATTTAACAAGTTACATGTTTCAATTTGTTAAAATACTTTTGGCATTTGAGCTTCATATTGTTTTGTATTCAATTGGGTGAAATGTTGTTCTATTGTAGAGTAAAGATGAATTAGTACCTGAGCGAATCATGGAAGCGGCGAACTATGTAACATTTATCCTTTCGGTATTTGGTAATATTCTGTCTGTAGTATTAAATTTCTCTTGTAGAATGAATTAATATTCCCAGATTGCAATTTTTGCTATTTAATTTTACTTTACTTGCTACAAAAAGATGTGTCATTTGAGCAATTGGCGATTTGTGAACCTTTGAATCATAGACATGGATAAATTGTTTCGCCATAATTTTAGTGTTTCTTCATCATGATAATTATTAGCATCACGGTAATATGCAGAAAATCCCATTTACTTTTGAAATTTTAAAATATTTCCTTCTATTTTATATTTTATGCTCAAATCCCAATTTTTGAAAGCATATATTCTATTTTAACTTTAATGGTCTCCTATCTATTGGCTTCAACTAGAGGAGCGACTGGTTGGTTCACCAAACCCTGGCCTAGCGTCACACATTTCCGAACCTGTGCCCTTATCCCAACTCATCCCGGAATTGTGTTATTGGAGCTGAGCCAGGAATGGCCGAATTGAGTGGACACCCACAAGGCATAGCTAGCTTGCTTGCTGGTATACCGGGTGGTTTCTCTTGGAATTCCACACTTGTCAGCAAAGGAGGCTAATGATCTTGCAGTGGAAAATTCAATCTGGCTCCACCTCTCTCTACTTAAGCCCTCGAGCTTCTCCTAAGCTAAGTGCTGACATGTCGGGCTGGCCTTCCTCTAAGGATGTTACACGTCTCTCTAGAGGGTTGAGAATGCGCTCGACTCATTCATGATGTGATTCCTAGCTCAGGTTTGGGGCATGCATACTTCTCACCATCATGTACTTGCAAAAAAATACAAAACATTAATTTGAAATAAGTAATGATCAAAATACCCTTTGGTTGTCATATTTTAATGAACTATTTTTTATATATATTTTTTACGTGTGCTGATGGTGAGACATTTGGATAAAATTTGAGTTGAATCTGATGAGTAGAATTAACATACAATATGTGCTCTCGAAAAGTGGGACTTAAGCATGAAGTTCAAAACAAAAGGCGTTATTCTTAAATGTCGATATTAGAATTTGACTTTTCCATAAATTTTACTTATTATTATTATTATTATTATTATTATCATTATTTCCACATGGAATGTTGGCCACATGGAGTATTGGAATTCTAACATGTAAGAGTATAGAGTTAGTGGATACACTGAGGCGAAAGAGAGTTAACATGACATACCTGCTAGAGACTAAGTTGAATGGGGCAGAAGCTAAGAAAATTGATGATATAAACTTTGGTATAGGTAAAGATAATAATAGAAATGGTGTAGGCATAATAATAATAGATGAAGATTTAAAGGATAAAATGGTTGATGTCAAGAGAGTAGGTGATAGCTCCTATTTATGAAATTTGTGTTGGGGAAGGAGATAATTAATGTAATTAGTGCTTATGCACCACAGGTAGAACTAGATGATAAAATTAAGAAACAATTCTTGGAGGACAGAGATGAACTAGTCCAAGGAATACCAAATGGAGAGAGGTCTTTTTAAGGAGGGGACTTAAATGTTCATGTAGGAAAAGATAGTAGAGTTAACAATTTAAAAAAAAAGGATGGGACTTAAATGGTCATGTAGGAAAAGATAGTAGAGGATATGATAAGGTATATGGGTTTTGGGGAAAGAAATGAGATGGGTGATACTATTGTGGATTTTGTTATGGCTTACTAGCTAGCAATAACAAACACCTACTTTTAAAAGTGAGATGAACATTTAATAACTTATAAAAGTGGATCACACAAAAGCCTGATAGAATTCTTTCTAGTTAAGGCTTGACCATCATGTAAAGGCAGTAAGGTTATCCTAGGAGAGAGTTTGACCATGCAACATGGGCTTGTGGTGATGGATGACTGCATAAAGTGATGGAAGAGAAGTGAAATTAATAGATGTCCAAGAACTAGGTGGTGTAATTTAAGAAGAGAGAAAATAGAAATATTTAGGAATAAATTGGTAAAAGAAGGAAAATCGAATTTCGAGCACGAAGTTAATGTTATGTGAAGTGAGATGGACTATTATATCAAGAAAGTGGCAAAAGAAGTCTTAAGGAATCTATAGGGAAAATAAATTTCGATAAGGAAACGTGGTGGTTAGTGCTTAGATTCAAAAGTCTATTAACGAAAAACGATCATGTTATAAAGCTTGACAATGTGATAGAAATGATTAAAACTTAAAAGAATATAAAAACTGCTAAGAAAAATACTTAAATAATAGTAAGTTTAAACTTAAGGTATATGATGATCTATACAATAAAATGGGAACAAGAGGTGAAAAAGATTTCTACAAACTAGTAAAAATGAGAGAAAAGAAGTGTATAGATATAGATTATATTAAATCCATTAAGAGTAGAGATCAGAGGGTGCTGATGAAGGATGATGAGGTCAACAAAAGGTGGCAAATTTGTTTTCAAAAGGTAATAAATGACAAACACTTGGGAAGCACAACATTAGGAGAAACCTTTGACATAAATGAGGTCAAAAGTCATAGATACATTCATAGGATTAGGATATCTGAAGTGAAAGAAGCTTTGAGAAAGATGAAGGTAGGAAAGACTTTAGGATCAGATGGTATCCCGATAGAGGTTTGGAAGTGCATTGGGAGAGATTGGCATATTCTTGCTGCCAAGTTCTTCAACAGGATGTTGAGAACAAAGAAAATACCAGACAAATGGAGAAAAATGTCCGTCGTACCTTTTTACAAGAACAATGGAGACATACAGAATTGTATGAACTATCGAGAGATCAAACTTATTAGTTACTCCATGAAGCTGTGGGAGAGAGTGATCGAGCAATGACTAAGACATGAAACAGGTGTATCAGAAAATCAGTTGGGCTTTATGCCAGGGACGTTAACAATTGAGTCTATTTTCCTACTTAGGCAATTGATTGAGAAGTTTATGGAGAAGGGGAGAGACCTCCACATGGTCTTTATTGATTTATAAAAACCATATGATAGGGTACTTAGAGAGCTAATTTGGTGGGTGATGGAAAAGAAAGGAGTCTCTAGAGGATATATTGACATGGTGAGAGATATGTACAAGGGAGTGCTAACTAGTGTGAGGACGACTAGTGGAGAGACAAGTGAGTTTTTAGTGACAATAGGTCTACAGTAAGGGTTAGCGTTGAACCCATATTTCTTTGTTTTGGTTATGAATGGGTTAACTATGTATCTACAAGATGAGGTATCATGGTGCATGTTGTTCGCATATGGCATAGTTTTGTTTGATAAGACTATAGGCCGCGTCAACGGAAATTTAGAACTTTGGAGGGATGCATTAGAATCTAAAGTTTTTAAAATTAGCTAGACTAAGATAGAATATATTAAATACAAGTATAATAATAATAATGCAAGTTTAGTAATAATAGGAGTAGAAATGAGGAAGTAGTTAAGATTGATGACCAAGAAATACCTAAAAGAGATTATTTTAGATATCTTGGATCGATGATTCAGGAGAATGGTGAGATTGAGGATGATGCCGCGCATAAAATTAGAGCTGAGTGGGCGAAGTGGAGATGTGCATCTGAAGTTTTATGTGATCGCCGCATACTAATGAAACTAGGGGGGAAGTTTTATAGGACGGTTGTAAGATCAACCATGGTTTATGGGACAAAATGTTGAGCAGCTAAGAAACAACATATCAGTGTTTCAAAAAGCGCTAGGTGGCCCTTAGGGGGCCATGGGGGTTCAAGCTGCTTAGCGCCTAGGCGGGCGTCCAGAACTTGGGTGGCCCAATCGAAAAAAATAAAAATAAAAATAAAATTTAGACCGTAATCCCTGTATTTTGATAATCCATAACACCATAATCCATATTTTTCATTCAATGCTAAAACAAAAAAACCATACAAGCATACACTAGTAGACTCTACACACAAAAGTTAGATAGTAAAACTAGAAACTAGAAAGTAGAAACTAAAAATAAGAAAAAGAAAATATACAGAAATTCAGAAAATATACAGATACAATGGTCAACACTCAACACAACACTCAACACTCAACACCAAGAGTTTTCAGTCATCATCATCATCATCAGAAGGAATAGGGTCAGCTTCATCATATGCATCAGAATCGAGGTGATCATCATCAGAGGCATCTCCCTCTTCAATATAACCCTCCTCTGTTTCCTTTGTATCTGTCTCTTTCTCCTCTTCTTCTACCTCCCTCTTACTAGTATGTGCAGATGAGGCCCTTGGAGTCTTGGCTGCTCTACCCTTTTCTATCTTTTTGTGCTTCCTTGAACTCAAATATTGTATAATTTCCTCCCTAGTAGCCTCAGAAATATTTTTACACGGGGAAACATCCCCCTTAATACCGGCAATGTGTTTTTTAAACCGGTGACCCCATTAGTATGCTTTCCACAATAATTACATTTAATGTGATTTTTATCATTCGGATTCGAGTTATAACTATACTTCCAACCTGGATCACCACTTTTAGAAGAACCTAGAGAAGATATTTTTGTAGAACAAGGCTCATTTTCATCATTTTCTGGTTCTTTTAAATTTAGAAGTTGTCTAATCTCATCCCGGATAGCTTCAAGAGCCTTTTTACAAGAGGCAACATTCCCTTTAATATCAGCAAGGTCTTTCTTGAATCGGATAATACCCCTATTGTTATATTTTTCACAAAACTTACACCTTATACAATTTTTATTTTGGGTTATAACTGTACTTCCAACTTGGATCACTTCTTTTAGAAGTAGCAGAAATAGATCTATTCAAATGACAAGGATTTTGTTCCTGTTTTTATTTTATGAAACTCATATATTACTTAATCTCCTCTCTGATAGCTTCACGAACATTTTTAGAAGAGGCAACATCCCCCTTAATACTGACAATATGCTTCTTAAACCGATTTATTCCCCCTTTCGTATCTTTTTCACAAATATTGCATCTAATCCAATTTTTGTCATTTGGATTCACGTTATATCCATATTTCCAACCCGGATCTCCACTTTGACTAGATCCGGAAGAATACATCTCAAAATAAAACAAGCAATTTAAAAAATAAATTTTTGCACTTACTTTGAT